TAATAAAAATGCCCTCCCCCCACCTAGTTCACACACACTACACAAACACACACTCTACATTATATACACAGAGTTTGTGTATATAATGCAGAGTGTGTGTTTTGTATGAGTGTGTGTGTGTGTGTGTATATAATGCAGATTGTTTGTATGAGTGTGTGTATATATAATGGAGTGTTTGTTTGTATGTATGTGTGTGTGTGTGTGTGTGTGTGTGTGTGTGTGTGTGTATATAATTATAAAAATCCCAGAATTTCATAGCCCCAAGTTTTACCCTCGACTTATCCACGAGGCATAGCATATTTCACAATTGTTGGTCACAAAAATGGACTCGACTTATACATGAGATCGACTTATACACGAGTATATACGGTATGTTTTATATACTTTACTAAACACAAACACTAGATCCAGTTCTTACAAAGGACATATTAGCTCTTACAATGCTGAATTTCCTGGCTGTACATCATGACATTACAACAGTGTAGCTTCTACTTACTATAGCTCATTGTAGTAGTTACAAGACTATGAGTCTAAGGGTCCCATTCTCCTAATTTGCAGCAGTTTGGCCAAAACCAAAGGTCTTCCTGGCCCTCACAGTTCAGTGCAATTGTAGAAATACAGTACAGCTTTGCATTGTCAGAATAAATATATTCACCCAGGCATGGCCATAGGGAGTCTTGGGAAAGTGCTTCATCAATTCATGGAATTGGAAAAAACATATATTTGCTTAAGTAGAGAATCACAAATTTTTTTCTTCTGGGTGGTAATGTGAGTTAGCTGAAAAATATGTAAAAAGGGTAGAGTAAGATAATAGACACATTGCCAATTTGTGTGCTGACTTGTGAATGGCAAGAAAATTAATTTCAGCCAAATCATTTTTTCCTAAAATAACACTTTGTCCTGTGATTCTGTTCCACAAATTAAAAAAAATAACAAGAAAATCCAACTGTGAAATATGCTTTCTTTGTCTAATGCTGGTGCTGGGCTGTAAAGACATAGTGGTTAGGGCCAACATTTCTCTAAAGTGTTTTACTTGGTAGCTCTCCTGAAAAATGCCACTGGCAAATCTTGGCAACCGGGGGTGGATCATATTGATGGCTGCAGTGGTAAATATGTGCCTATTAATCATCTGCTGCTTTAACCAGAAGCACACTTTAAACTGTTTGCTGAGAGCATGCTCTGCACTTATATCTTATGATTTTGAGTAAAGTTGTAGATCTGATTAGTTTCAATGTGCTTTGATCAATCTGGAGTGGAGATGTAACCGTGGAAGCGTGCAGAAGCCAAACACAGAGAGATGGACACAGGTATTCAGGAAGTAAGAGGCCTTTATTCACGTACCGATCGGGTCTCAGATGGACTAACGTTCCACAACAGATCTGAGCCCCGAACACATGGAGTACATTCCTTATATAGCACTATAGTGCCTCCCATAAATAGCTACACCCACACATACCATTAACCAATCAATGAACAGAGTCTAGACTTGTTCATCCGGTCTAACCACGTGGCTCATCCGAAACAAAGGAGAAGGGAGTGTGATTTTAGTTCCTACATTCCTGCACCTGCTCAGTACATTGATGACAGTATCTTAGCTACGTGTAACTAACTGATACTACAAACACATGTACCTACATATGCCACGTGACAATCTTGGCCTACTAAACTTTTATTTTACTGGAATTCCATCACAAAACTAATGAAACTTTCTGTGTTCTATTAAAAATGTTTTATGACTGCCTTCTTCTTGGCGACCTTGAGTGGCGGACATGTTTCCTTCTGCTAAAACAACTATTAATGCATGGGACATTTTGTGTAAATTGTAAAGATGATTCTGACACTCGTATTTTAAATGAAATGGTACAACTGTTGCATGAACATTGTAATGTTTCTGACCAGGATTCGGACTTCAAACAATTGGCAATATCAAATTTAAAAAAATATATATTTTTCCAGTCCTGGACAAAAACGTCCCATCTTCTTATGCTATACCTATTTTGCTGGTGAGGTAGGCCCTAAATTGGATTGCATGCTGAAATGGGAGAGTGAGCTGGGTTGGGAATTTGAAGTTGAAGACTGGCATACCTCTTTACTAACATGGAAGGCATTGCACAATGTACATCACACATAGAAACACATTACAAACTAATATACAGATGGTACCTTACACCTTCTAGACTGTTTAAATTACAATTGACAAACACTAATTCCTGTTGGAGGGGTTGTGGGAAGGTTGGCATATGATATCACATCTTCTGGACATGTCCCAAGAATTCCATTCTGGAAAGACATACATAAACTCATTCAATCCATCATAAAATTTCCAGTTAAAATATCCCCACATCGTTGTTTACTTATAAATTTACCAGAAAATATATCCAAAAGTCATGGAATAATGTTGGGTCATCTGCTTATTTCTTCTACTTCCGCAATCCCACGGCACTGGAAATCAACTGTCTCTTCAGTTATCGAGGTATTACAGCTCCTTTTTGAAAACAAACATTGTGAACTAGCTACAAGATTGCCATCGGACGCAAATACCACCTTACAACTCGATTAGACAATTTGGGAAGAAGATATAAGGTGTCAATATCGTATTTAGTTCTTTCCCCCCAGCCGGTCACCAAAATTTGTTACATATTTGTATTGTTAATTCACTTTGCACTGCATTATGGTTGCTAAATAAGGCACTACCAATGGTAAAGTTATAAAATTTCTTTAAATTATTTATTTATGTTTAATTTTTTTAATAGTTTTGGATGATTAATAGTACTTGTATATTTACCCCTTTTTATTGTTTGTTTGATGTTAATATTATCATTATTATTGTTTGGTTTATTATAATATTTAAAACTTTCAATAAAACATTTGAAAAGTTAAAATATCAGCTATTCAACTATTTCCAGAAAGTTAAAACCATATACCTCACAGCATCTTAGACCACCAGCTATCACAGTTTTTTTTTTGTATTTTGATGGGACTTACTATTTCCAAACATGTATGAATTCGATGGAGGCAAAATTTGAACCAGTGTAAGCCAACCTGTAAATTTGGCTAATCCTAAGAGAAATTATTTCAGGCTGTGGGCCCCACACACTAAGGGGACAGGTTGTGTGGCCCATGCACTTAGGGCCATCCTGTTTGTCCCACATTAATGACAGCCCTGCTCTACTCTTCAGATATTTTTCTGGCTTAGATATTTTGTTCTTAGTTTTAAATCTTGGATTTCTATTTGGCCTCCTATTTAGCTATCACTGCTGTAGAAGATGTGTTTTGTTTAGAAAAAAAACAGGAGGGACATTTAAATTAAAGAGTTACACCAAGTGTGTTGTTACCCAACGTTAATTTTGAATTAATTGCGTTAAGCTACTAATAGCACTTAATGCTCTTTGATATTTTCTATTAAAACCTATAAATATAAGCCAAAATATTACTTTAATTCCAGAGCAAGGATCAAATGGTCCCTGAAGTGTTCCCATCCTACTTTATCACACAGTCATCCATTTAAGGGTAAAAGGTCCAATCAAATGGTGCTCATTGAGAAACATTGTGGGACCCAGGGCTCAGCAAGTGACGTGACCTGTTTTGGAAGCAAAATTTACATCAGTCAGTCTGGAAGACTGTTCTGTGATGATTCGGTCATGTTTGTGCATGCAGTGTTGTTGGGCTCGGGTACTAAATTAATTTTTTTTTCTGTATAGGCAGCGTTTCAAGCTGAAACACTGCACATACAGACTGCTTGCACCATATGCAGGACTTAGAGTTCGCAAGTCTTGCAGTCAGAGCAGTATGTAGGTAGCACTTCTGATGATCAACTCAAGAATAGCTGTCTTATTTATTTCATTCATCTATTTCAATTATATCCCTCTTTACCTCCCATTCCAATAGTATTGCTATTTATTCCTTCCATGCTCGACTCTTGCTTAGTCAAAGGGACACTACAGGCTCCCACACAACTTCATCTCATTGAACATCCATCCAGTGTCTTCTAAATCCCTATATTAAATCACTGCATTTTCATATGAGGCAGGCCTAGTGCACGCACGGCATTTGCTGTGCATGTGCATTAGGTTCCCCCCATCGGCAGACGTCGGCAGAGGAGGAGGGACATTGGCACTGGGATCAGGCAATTGTTTAAAGCATTATTTAACTCTTTACATTAATGGGGAAGGGAGGGCATGGGGGCGCAGGGACACCTTAGTATTAGGGATACATCTTTGTGTTTTTATCACCAGCGTGTTCCTTTAAATGTGTGCTTACGTTGTTAGTGTTAG